ACACCCGTGACTCTTGCCATCTCGGTATAGTTTTCGAGGCACGAGAGTTTATCAATCAGTCTCTGTGGAAGATATGCATCCTTGAGGCAGTACAGGGCCAACCGGCGCCTTGACTCGGGCGTGCCTTCAAAGAGCTCCGTGATCATAGAATGATGAACATCCTCTTTCTGTTCACCCAAGAAGTGGGAACAGACCGAGTTGAGCGTGTAACTTCGAAGTTGATGGTCACGCTGGATAAGCTGCAGCAGGTCGAGCTGGAGCCGACCGTTTGTGTTTGTAGCCTTGGTATCGCGGTTGCCCATCTGTTTGCTGGAGAAGTTGGTGTCTTTTGCGACCGATCTAACCATGGTACGGGACCAGTACTCAAACCCCTGCACCTTGAGGTGTTTGGCTCGGTCGAGAAGATAGGGGAAATCGAAGTTACAGATGTTGTAACCTGTGATGATATCCGGGTCAACCTTTTCGAGAAACTTTTGCCACGCGGACAGCATTTCCTCTTCCTTGTCAAAGTCGAGGATCTGGGTGGCCACAATGGGACTCGTTGTGTCCAGACAAAACACGTTCCGGATAAAGGGCTTCTTGTCACCGTATTTGGTGACTACGTTGGCGATTTGAATAACAGAGTCATGGACTGCCTCGGGGAAGATGCCTTTGCGACCAGCGCATTCAATATCGAAGGACAAAACCCTCAGAGGGGCCATTTTTGACCACTCGCCAGTAGGTTTGTGGGCGATCAGGTCGCGATAGCTCATCTGCGCCTCGATCTGGCAGTTGGACTGTCTGTCGGCAACGATCTGATACCGGTTGGCGGGGGCTTCAACCCAAGACATGCCGGCAATCTACAGTGTCTGTTAGCCCTGTCTCCTAGGCGTTCATTTTCGGCAGGATTAACACATACCGAACAGTCAACCATGAATCGGAGCAGGTATTGGATGTTGTCAAAGGTCATGATGGTGCCATCAACGCTCTTCCACATGCCCTTCCAGTTGGCATCGCCCTTTTCGATTATGACGCGGACCTTGGCGATGAACTTGGGGTCGGTCACGGAGATCTTCAAATAGGGGTTTTGCGTGTTACCCTGGAAGCCGAAGATATTCTCACGCATTGTCAAAGTCACGTTATGGATGACAGTCTGGTGCATAGCTAGTACGGATTCGAGATAGGCGCGGAACTTGGGGCAGTCCTCGGCGCTGAAGGACACGGGTGCAGCTACATAGAGGTAGTGCTTGAAGTCCTTGACGTGCAGCAACACCGAGTTTCCGTTTTCGGTGACGCCGAAGAGCTTGACTGTCGCCTGTCCGCCGGCCAAGGTGCCCTCCTCAGCCTCGATGGACTGGAAGCATAGCGCGTGCGTGGCGGGATTGAAGTCTCTTGGCACTGGGGGGCGTTCCCAGGCCTGGTCCTTCTCTGTGTTGTTCTGCTTGAGATCCGAAATATCTTGGCTCATACGTTCCAGCACCTCGCTCTCGAAGGCGCTCTTGGGCTGGCTCGACGCGAGCTTCCTTTTGCTGTCATTCTGGGAGCTATTGAAGCGGAAAGCGGGCGAAGACGGTATGGGCTCGAGACGTCGCTTCTTGGACGAGACCGGCGCACCAGGAATGTTGCTGCGAGTGCTCGAAGCTTCGCCAAAGACGCGCTTCTGGGGGAGGAGAGCGGCCGGCATGGTGGAAGCCGTGACGAGGTGGTACCAACAGTCCGAGTCTCAGTGAGTTCGAGTTTCTCCAGGCAAGGAACAAAAGAGGGCAAAGTGTTTGAAAGGCCAATCTCTCAAGCCACGGGCGTGCGCGTTATCGCCGTTGGCATGGCGTTTGCTGGCGTATTATGGCGTCGAACCCGTTGCTGTTGGTAGCACGTTTTGTTGTCCGAGTACAAAAGCTTGTCGTTGTGTAAAAGAGAAGCGAACCAAGCCGTGGGGCAAAATGGGCGCCCATGTGGGTGTGGGTGACGCGACCAGGGCCTGTTACGTGACTGCCCCACTCTCTTGACGCGACTTCTTTAATTGACCTGCCGGTGGAGGGCACTTGCTTCCCAGCTGCCTTGCCTATTTCGGTACTTAGACACCAACATTCACTCAATACCACTAAAAGCACTCAGGTCAGCTTGAACACATCAACAACCTGATTCAAGCACTTCCACATTCAAACCTTTCCTAGTCTTGGAACCGCCCGCAGCCTTTCACTTTGGGGAGAGGACGAAAGGTACAACACGTGATCTCGCGTCAGCCAACCCTAACCCGGTTGAATTGCCCCACCAAACACCCCTTAGCTACCCTCACAAATCATCACGACACCTGCCTCGGCTGCATTGACAGGGTTCATTCACATCATCAATACTCCGTAACTTGACTTCTTATCGCCCACCTTCAGGTCTCGCGACAATTTGGGATCGTGGTGACCTGCACTCTCCCTTCCTGAAGAAAGGTTGAACAGCAAACGCTCGAAAAGGACTAAACCTACAAAACAAAAACTTTACTGGGAACGATATTATCAATAAACTAAGCCCCCACTCAGCTGAGCTTCATTCAAAATGGCCGACCGACATGGCGCGGCGCCGTCTCGGACGCTGGGTGCTGGCATCTCCAAGGCCAGGAGCGGGGGCGTGACAGCGTCGAGCGTGCGGCGGAATCTGTTCCAGAGCCAATTGACGCGGCGGCCGACGGCGGGGGGGTCGACGTCGCCGTCGACATCGGCCGAGACGCTGCGCTTGGACGCCGACGGGCAGCCGCACCAGCAGCCGTCTCTGCCGTCTCCGCTCGAGTCTCCTTCGTCCGCAGACATTGTGATCCGCGATAGGAACGGCGAGATCGAGCTGGGAGACCCGCCTACGCCGCCCCTAGACGACCCGGACGAGGTGGTCGCGCTGGACACGCGGCAAGAGAACGAAAAGGAGAGGCAGAGGCTGTCCGAGGCCGTGAAGCAGCATCAGATTGACCAGAATAGTGTACCTGCACAACCAGAAGGTGAGATTCTTTTCCTCTTCCAAAACCCCCTATACGCCCCTTAACCCTGTCCGTCAACGTGAACCTCAACTGAGACCAAGTGCGTATGATTACAGAGCTGCTTGAGGCAGTTAGAGCGAGTTTGAGAGCCAAGGTTGCTGCGTTAGCCGAGGACAATTGGATGTTCGAGCGAGAAGAGCTACCACGTCATCAATGAGAAAAGCGAACAGCATGAGAAGGCTGATTTGGCTTCCGTACACTACCAATTCGTGTTCTTTGCCCGTCTGTGTCTGTATCTTGCCCAGTCTATCCAGGCCATGAAAGCCTTACTCTCTAGTCCAGGCCTTCGGCAGTCGGGGCCTCTACCCGGCGAGCTGCCGGCCGCCCCCCCGGGAGTCCGCCTCCGCCTCCGCCGCCACCAAACAGGCTGCCCATCATGTCGAATAGCGGATTGCTCTGCCGGGGCCGCTGGATCCCAAAGTACATCTCGGCAATCATCTCCAGCGCCGTGTCCCACGCGCCCCCCAACTCGTTGATGTTGGGAGCATACTTATTTCGCAGCTGCCGGAACAGGTCAGGGCTGCCCCTTTGAACGGCAAGGAGGAGCAAGCCCAGGAAGTTGAGCAGTGGCAGGCTCGGGAAGACGCGGACGTCGGAGTTCTGTGAGCTGACGTCCTGGACGCTGAGGTCCTTTTTGTCCGAGGTCAGCGCGCTGGTGAAGGCCCTATACGAAGTATTGGCTGCCCGGACATTGGCGACCAGCAGATAGGGTAACACGGCCCGCGCGGCATAGAGGGGTGCCGTGTGGGAGTCGTCCTCCTTGTACCACGTGTACTCCATGCGAGTAAGAACCTCGGGCGAGTCCTTCGTGCCTAATATCAAGTGCTTCTCAGCCTCGTCCGTCTCGTGCTCGTCAGCGTAGAGCGAGCCCACGACGTGGTGTAGCTCGGGATCGCCCGCAGGGTAGTCGCCGAACTTCCTCGACCAGCTGTTGTAGAGATCTCGTCAGCTTCTCCTCCTCTCCACTTGCGACGGGGAATACAAAGCCAAAGGAATTGGAGAAAATGTGGAAGAAAAAAAGGCTTCAGTACTCCATCATCTCCTTGATGTACTTCTTGCGCACCGGCTCCTCGCTGTCAAAAAGGCGCAGGCACGTCAGCAGCTTGGCCCGCGACTCGGCGTCGGGTTTGTGCTTCGCCTGCTTGTACACGTCGACCAGCAGCACGGCGAGGTCGCCGCCGCTGCCGCCCTGCCCGGCCTTGAGCAGCGCCTGCGACACGCTCGACAGGATGTCGATGGCGGCGCCCCAGTTCTCCGTCTTGGTGTAGCGCGCCGCCACCAGCCGCGTCTCCTGCCCGGCCTCGTACTGCTCCTCGAACTGCCCCTCGGCAATACGCTTCTGCAGCCGCGCGATGATCTTCTCGATCTTATTGTCTCGTCGGGTCGCCATCATTTCTCCTTCTCCTCTGTCGGCGTCTCTCCTTCCTTTTCAATCCTGGTTGTGCTCGGGAGTTATCGTCTGTTGCTGTCGGGTGCGTGTATAGATCAAGTTGGTATTCCTGGTATCTACCAAGGGGGTACGGAAGAGCTGAGGCAAGTAAACTTGTCGAGTCGGGGTTTCAGCGTGGTAGTATACTATGTATGCATCACCTTAGCTCCAACCCAAAAGATGGAAGCATGGAAAGCAGCAGAGACAAGGATGCCCCACAGCAGAGCCGGCCTCTGAAATGCCCCGCAATGGTTATTTTCCCGACGAGCGGTATGACGGATGGCGGGGAACTGTGGAGCACATACACAGCTGTGTTCCGTCCGACCCGCTCTCCGCTACAGAATACGTACCCACTCTCTGCGGTATTTCCTGGAGCCAAGCAGTGACGAGAGCTCCCCGGGTGGGCCCCATTCCACACCACATATGGAGCTCGTATTGGAGAGCAGCAGCAGTTGCCGGCGCCGCCTCCGCCGCAGCAGAGCTGAGGGGGCAATGTGTGACTGCCCGTGTGCGTGTGAGCGTGTGAGACGCATTTCTCAATAAGAAATTACCCGTCGTATTCCCGTAGGAACCGCGACGTTAGTGTAATGGTTATCATCTGCGCTTCCCAGTTTGTTCCAGGCTGCGCAGGATTCGAGTTCGATTCTCGAACGTCGCATATCGACTTTGCTTTTTGCCCCTATTCAGCACCACAGCTTGTTGCAATAAGAGATGAAAGTTTGCAATTAGCTACAACAAGTTGGGACTGAGTTGACACATCAGATACGTAGCTTAAACCCCGGATTTTAAACTCTAATCAAGAAAACCCCCGATTAGCTACTACACACACATCTTCATTCAGCATCCCGTCAAAGCAGGCTTAGAGACAAGGCATCATCCAAGCCATCGAGGAAGGTATTTATACAGGGTATCATGCATTTGTTTCTTCATATGTGCATGCTCCTAAACACTACACATACAGCCTATCTCTTTGTACAAAACATGGGTATCCCGCGCTGACGGCAAGCATTTTCTTGTCATGGTCAAACGCGAGATATCCATCTATACATTCTCGCCCTAGTATCCCCATACTAGAAAGCGGACAGATGCCATAGCCGAGGGCAGATATGACATATATGGCCAATGACAACTATACCATGGCCATATATGCCATCCCAATATCGGGTAGAGTCTGGATCTCATCCACTAAAACCCGTTGACCCTCATATTCGCAGCCTCTCTTTCTCTGTCAACAAAAGACATGGAATTGGAGGTCATAGCGCTGGTCGGTCGAGCAATAAGAGGCAGGCTGGCGCGCTCCTGCATCTCTTGACTCTTGCTGGGACTGCTGCTGTTGTCAAGCGATACCCGTGCAAGCCGATCAGCCTCGCGGCCTATCGTCGGAGGCTCCATGATCATTTCCAATTCTTGTTCGGGAGGCGGTGTAAGGAGGTCCACAGGTTCATCGACCGAGCCTCCAGGAACTGGCGTGACTGAAATATCCACCAGCTGGCCTATACTCTGACGCGTGTCCATGAATCCATCGCCACTGGCAAACACATCGTCATTGTCAAATGCCGAGTCGCGCATGTCGTCGTCGATATCCCCAGCCGATGCTTGGTTCGTCGCCATGGACTCTAGGCTAGTAGACTTCTTAAGTCTCTTTGGCGAGCTTTGCTGCTGCTCGGCTTGCGAGAGCTCTTGTTTGAAGTGACGGTTATCGAACTTGACAAAAGTCTTCAGGGCGTCCGGCAGAGGAGTGGATTCTTGTTCCAAGGCCTCGTCCGTTGCATATACCAGGATGGGCTTGCTGTTAATCCCACAAGCCTCGCGCATTACTGTCTCGTATGTTGTCATCTAATCACGGAGACTAAATTAGCATTGCCCAGTGCCCCTCTTTCCGTCAAGTAAATATTTCTTACCTCGGTCGAGACAGTGTTGTTATTGCTCTCTTCGCATGTTATTTTCCACCACTGTTCAGTGGGCGTGGCTGCGTCGTTAATCTGCATAAGAACAGGCTCTCGCTTCCGCACAAACACAATATTTGCGTTACTATTCACGCCTCGGAGGGTGTATTTGTGGGTTGCATTCCATTTCTCGTCCGCTGATGGGCCTGTAAGGAGCGTGCAGAGATGGCTGTACAGCGCCTGGAGAGACTCTCGTTCTGGCAGAATGACGCCTGATCCGTTATTGTCAGCAAGGTCACTACAAATCGTACACAGTTCCCCAACTTACTCTTCATGACACGCTCAATCTCGGCCATCTGTTGTTCAAGGTGTCGTATTTTTGTCTCGTAATGTTCCACAACCGCTGCCTCTTGGGGCCACAATTTAGGCTCGCCCGAGTGTTCGGGTAGGTAGAAATCATCCTCGCCGCGAGAGCGAGCCTCCTCATGGTCTCTCCACGAGGCATGATTCTTTATTTTCGCAATGAGCTCATTACAACGCTGGATTGCCGCCTTGTCCAGGACTCTTCTGTCCCAGGCCTTGCCGTTTTGGGTGTATGTCGTCAACTGATCCTCTTTCTGTCTGTTTTGCTGGAATGCCAAGGTCACCGTCGACATCTCGAGCTGGAGTTGCCGCATTTGGTCTCGGTTTACTGCCATGTATCGATCGATGTAAAATGTTTCGGGAATCTCGATATGCTTCGGAAACCCGTCATCACCGCCGAAGCGAAACGTAATGACATCAGAGGGCTGAGTTATCATGGCCATCCTGGCAGTGTCGAGATCCTCTTCCGGTGTGCCAATGTGCATATAAAAGAGAAGATCCCAGACGCTGTAGAGGTTCTGCGCTAAGGACAGAGTCTCCCTCGGAAAATCGGACTCGAAAAGGGCAAACACATTCAAAGTGCTGGGCCCGTCGCCTAAAATGGGCACAACCTCAACCGAAACCGCAAACGAACTGCTCGTTTCTTGCTGAATCCCATCAGTCATTGCCTGCCCACTAAGGCAGTTCTGGAAAAAGTCCTTTTCTCGGTCGCCGAATAAGGGCGTGCCCTCGTACTGAGATTCGCAGAGGATGTCTGCGGTACCGTAGCTCCGGTCTGTAGAATCTAGGAAGGCAATCAAACGGTGGACCTCATCGGACCACGGGGGCAAGGAATCCGACCCGTAGAATCCGCCTGATCCTGTGTCTCTTGCTGCTTGCTGATCTGGTGGCAAAATAACGACGCCTTTCCACCATTCCTGATTGCTCCCGTAGCCGTACTCTGGTTCTCGACCGAAGCGTAATAGTGCATTGCGAGCAGCGGGGATTGTGTGCAGTATCATCAAAATAGGGCCTACACGATGAACGCCGTTGTTGTTGTTGCTGTTGTTGTTATTTGGGCGACATCTCAAAAACACGGGGGCCCCTGGAATTCTCGCTCGGAGCGACGGCTCAGGGTCGGGGTTCTGAGCCTTGAGACGGACCATGGACCACTCGCCTGGATCATATTCAGGTCGAGTGGCCGGCCCGAAAAAAACGGAGCCGTCTCCGGTGTTGGTGATGCCTGACTGTTGTGGTAGCGGCGGCGGACCAGGCAGCGGCTGAGGACTCTGAATGCCGGACGCGTGCAGCGACTCGTTGATAGCTCGTTGAAGGTCTGCTTCCTCTTCCTGCCTGTTGCTCGGCCCACCTCCAGTAAATTCACCTGCCGTGAGATCTACGACGCGACCGATGGGGGATCTGGTATTTGCTCTCGATGGTGGGCGCGAGGGCGCCACTGAGCCGTAGAAGCTGGTCGGTTCGGACCCGTATATGACTTGAGTGTCGTCGGCCGGGTGTATTATAAAGGCTGACAACATCTCGTCAGTACTACAGCTTCCGCCAGCCGCGGAATTCCATAAGGCTCACATGGGGCTGTGTTGTTGACCATGTCGCCTTCGCGATTGGAAGAGAAGACTCCCTCATCCCATCCGTACTTCTTTATGAACTGCACGGACACAAGTCAGCACACAAGCCTGGGCGGAAAGCGGCGGGAGGGCGATCTGACATTATCCGAGTCTGTCCAGTACTCGTCGGCGACAGCGTCGACGTTATTATTCTTGCCCTGCAGTGCCGCAGCGATCATTCTGTGGTCCGACAAGCCCGTGGCTTCCATGACCATCTTGATCTGCTCCGCAGACGCCGCGTTGAACGCCATCTTGCCTTGTCTTGCTCTGGCACCGGCGGCACAAACCTGCGGGTGTCGGAAACAACTGGATGCAGAGCTGTCAAGATGCCATGGATAGGCTCGAGCGGGACACTGGGGTCACTGGGCGAGCTGGACAGGGTAGCTAACGAGCTCTCGATGCGGCTTCTTGGGTTTGCGATTCACGATTTGGGTCTGCCTGTGAGAATGGGCAAATATTTGACAACCAAACTCCTTTGTCGGGATGCTGGGTATTTAGCAAACAATGCAAGCCGCCGGGTATTCGTCTGAAATGCGCCGGAAAGAAGTCGTCAGCAGGGCGGTTGGTGTTGGAAGGTCGATGATGGAGAGCTGCGGGTTTCTTGTTAGTTCCTGCCGCCCCAGAGCACGATGTAATGAATGTGAAAGCCCATTTGGCTCTTGGCGCCGCCTTAACCCTTGAAGGTGCACGCACCACCCAGCGTAATGGCTAAGAAAAACAGCGGAGCAGGCAGAAACGGGCTAGAGTTACTTCGTACATACCTTAAAATGGATGTTACCCCGCGAACTCTTTGATCCTAACCCTTGCCCAACCTTCCTCCTACGGAGCATTGCATGGAAATCTCATAAATTTTAGCAAAGGCGCTTTACGGAGATGTGAGATCTGCCGCAGACTGCCATGGATGTATGTACCTAAACTTGGTACATACTGAATTTACAAAACAGCTAGAGGTTGGTTTAAAAATGTTGACTTGGTTTATGAAATTTTCCAGGTTCTATTTTTAAGGCGAACTTTCATGCTCTCTACACGAGGGCAAACGGAAGAACATTAACCTAGACGTGGCCGCCCCATGTGAATACAGTGTGTTAGTCAATGAAAATAAATAGATTGAGGAGGAGGTCGTCTAATAGTCCAACAAGAGAAACTATCTATCAAACTGATAACTCTGTCTGTGGAACGCCAGATTATCACACCGCTCGCCAAATTTACATACGATCCACTGTCTGGCCGCGTATTCGCCCTCATCAGAACCCGTGTTGGTGGGAGAAAGGATTGGGGGGCAAACCTATAAACACAACGCAGATTCCTGCCGTCCTTGGGGATAGCGGTCTGCGTAACGCTCTGCCACAACTGCCGCTACCAACGCTATGCATGATAATAATGGTAAGTAAGTAAGAATAATAAGAAAAAAGGGCGAGCGACACTTATTAATCGAAGGCGTTGCTACCACATCCCGTGGTCAGTGCCGCTGCCAGGTCCATTATGCGTCATCTTCCCCGTCTTCTTCTTCACTTCCGTCGTGTTCTTCTTCATCTCCCTCGTCCTCAAAATCTCCCATGTCCTGGTCTTCGTCCTCGTCACCCGTGTCGCTGCCACCAAAGTCGAGCTCCTCGTCGCTTTCGGCCCAAAAGTCATCGTCATTCTCGGCCTTGATCGGCGGTGCGGGCTCAAAACTCCGCGGCATCTCGAAGCCCTCGGGTATGTCCTTCTTGGACTTCTCGACCGTGGCTCGCGCCCGGTCGTTGTACTCGCTCCGGCGGTCGCGGTACATGACGCCTGCGTCGACGTTGGCGGGCGAGCTGATC